CAGCAATGTGATTGTTAACATCATCTTTCCTCGTCGCCCGCCTGTGTTCAGTCAGTCTTGTTGCAAGGTTTCTGTCAGTCTCTCCGATGCAGGGGCTTGGCAGTCGGAACAACTGATCTTAAATCGCTCCCTGTCTGTTCCTTGGTTCGTCCTTGTCTTTAACGTTGGTTAGTAACTGACGTAGTGTGGTGATGGGTTGTGAGCAACGCGGATTGTAGTCTCAGTACATTGTAGTGCCAATTGAAGTGGAATACTAGTGAACAGTGATTTCACATCAAATGACACTAGTTTCTAGTCGTCAGGTATCTCAGTGTACAGTCTTGGTAGCGTTAATGAAATCTTGAGTGGATTGTAGTTTATTTATGGATTTGTCGGTTAGCGGTTGTAGTATTGCCGTCAGGTACTTTCGGCAAACCGAAACTCTACGGTTTGCCGAATCTACACAAACCTGGTTTACCGATGCGACCTATTGTTTCTTTCTGTGGCTCTCCCACCTGCCAACTACCCAAGTAGACAATCTACCGACCCACTATCGCTGCCGACAGACGACATTATGGCGGGACTTGCTGAACATTTTCCTAACGTCAACTTACTTTCAGTACAACGGTAAACACTCCAAACAGTTACACGGCATAGCCATGGGGTCTCCAGTTTCTGTTGTTATAGCAGAAATTGTGATGCAGAACATCGGGGAGCGCGCCCTTTTGACTTGCCGACAAACGATACCACTTTGATTACGTTACGTTGACGACACATTTCACCGCCGTACGACACGACGAAATCGACGCATTCCACCACCACCTCAACGGACAAAACACTGACATACAGTTTACCAAAGAAGTCGAAGAAAATGGCAAACTTCCTTTTCTAGACCGTCTGGTAAACCGTAACGACAACTCACTACGCACGACAGTTTACAGGAAACCGACACACACCGACAGATTACTAGACGAGTCATCCTACAACCCTACATCACACAAAGCCACAACTATCAGAACTCAACACGACGCGCGCAACTAGTATGCGACTCCTCTGCGACCCCTCTGGCTGCCAGGCTCCTCTAGCCCCTGTGGTTATTCCAGGCAGCCAGTACTCTAACTTATACTTTTCAATATTCTCTTTGTGAAAGTGTGGTCTGATCGTCCGGGTGAGTGTAGTCCTGAGAAGGACTGTTGTCGGTGGTAGTGACTGACGTTTCGACAACCTGTGCGGAAGTCATCATCAGAGTCAAGTGAATGATTGTTGTCAGTATATA